TTTAAAATCATGATTCTAGCAGGGCAGGCAGTGATAGCATGGGGGCGGAGAGACAAAAGAAATGGACTATGGAAAATTGGAATAACTACCTTTATGATCAGGTGCAATCTGAAATGGTAGCATGTTTAATTCAGGATGATACGCAGGAGGATAAAATAGGAGAAATTAAAAATAAAGATATGACAGTGAAGCCAATATAACTATTGTACAGAATCTAAGAAAATTGTGCACATGGTTAAGGATAAAGATATAGAGAAAATATGTGATCTGGCTGATGGGAGGTTTTTAACAATAAAAATTAATAAAATGTCAGTAAGAAAAAAACTAGATAAAAGGATAAGGTGCAGCCAAAATATTTGTAAATGTATGCATTATATATGTTATAGCATTATTCAAGCATATGGACAAGAGATGCATATGTATATATACACCAGATGAAATCAAGTGTAACTAATATGATGAAAGCATTACACACCAACACAAACACACCAATATTCAAGAATATGGACATGAGATGCTTATGTGTATGCATACCAGATGAAAATAACAGTAACCAATATGATGAAAGCAATATATATAGGTAAAGGTAAAGATTTCCCCTGACATTAAGTATAGTCATGTCCAACTCTGGGGGGTGGGGGGGTAGTGCCTATCTCCATTTCTAAGCTGTAGAGCTGGCATTGTCCATAGACAACTCCCCCGTCATAGGGCCAGCATGACTGCATGGAGTGCCGTTACCTTTCTGCCAAAGTGGTACCTATTGATCTACTCACATTTGCATGTTTTCGAACTCTTGGGTTGGCAGAAACTGGGGCTAACAGCGGGAGCTCCTCCTGCTCCCCAGATTCGAATGGCATACCTTTTGATTAGCAAGTTCAGTAGCTGAACAGTTTAACCTGCTGTGCCATCAAGGGGCCTGCAATACACATACACACACTTATGCAATTATTCCAAAATAAAAAAATCCCAAATCTGAAATACTTTTGGTACCAAGCACTCCAGAGAAGGGATTTACTCAACCTGTATGAATATCTGCCTCCTTCCCCACCTGAGCAAGGGTTTCGCTTGGAAAATTACCTCCCTAGCACCCACAGCAATGCCCTGAAAGGAAACAAATCCGTTGGATTCTTCCTCCTCCACAACTTTTCTTGGTAATCTCTGTGTCCTGGTAATACCTTTCTCTGTTGCCTTTCCTCAGAAAATATCATGGGTCCGTAAAGACTGGATACACAGGTTGGATATCCTTTATCTGAAATACTTGGGACCAGAAATGTTTTGGATTTTAGGCCTTTTTTCGGATTTTGTAACACCTGTATTAGTGCAACAAACTCTTAGTTAACCGGAACTTGACCAACCGGATTTTTTTAAAAACCAAAATTACATCCTACATTTACAAAGCCCCTTTTTATAGTACAGTAAAACTGCGTTACATTACATTTATCTTTATTGGTCTGAATTCACTTTTTATTACTATTTCAATATTAATATTAATACAGAATTTATAATAGGCTATAAGATGGGGTACAGTATTAGTTCAGCCTATTTTTCATAGTAATTCTCAAGCAACCAGAAACTATCTAGCACAGTGTTCCCAACCTGTGATCCGAGGACCACCGAGGGTCAGCAAGAACGAAAATATGATCCGCAGCCTCACCATTACAACACTGCTGCCTCAAAACCACGTGGCAACGAGAGCGACTGGTCTCGCAAAACCCTCTTATAGTGCTAAGGCAACGGGGATGTCAGGAGGGGAGAGGCTGACTACCCATGAAATATTACTACTACCACATCAGCTCTAGATTATTGAATATGGTTGTCTGTGGGCGAGCTGATGGCGACTACTGGATGGCATTATGTTCTGTATCAGAAATTAGAGATGAGGTCTATCAAATGCAATTTTCTGAATCAGCACCCCAAATAACCAAACCGAATCTAAAGATGACCAAAAACTGATTCGTAACCCTTTTGGTACTAATGTTGGAGTGGTCGCTGGTCTAAGTGGTCCCTGGTTTTTAAAAAAGTGGGAACCACTGCTTTGTTGTTGTTTATTCGTTCAGTCACTTCTGACTCTTTGTGGCCTCATGAACCAGTCCATGTCAGAGCTCCCTGTTGGTCGTCGCTACCCTCGGCTCCTTCAAGGTCATGATTTTCCTGCTTCTTGGCAGGTGGTTGGACTGGATGGCACATGAGGTCTCTTCCAACTCTATGATTCTAAGCCAGTCACTTCAAAGATGCCAGCCAGTCACCACTGATCTAGCACCTGCCTATCCCTATAAGTGCCAGGTTATTTTTCATGTCAGGAGCGACCTGTGAAACTCCAAGTCAATTCTGGTGTGAGGGAATTGGCCATCTGCAAGGATGTTGCCCAGGGGATGCCCAGATGTTTATCATCCTTATGGGAGGCTTCTCTCATGTCCCCACATGGGGAGCTGGAGCTGACAGAGGGAGCTCATCATCTACACTCTCCTCAGATTTGAACCTCCCTGACCTTTGAACCTTCAGTCCTGCCAGCACAAGGGCTTAACCCACTGCACCACCGGGGGCTCCTACAGTGCCAGTTAATGGAGAGTTTACACTATATAGTGCAAGCATAGGCAAACTTTGGCTCTCCAGGTGCTCTGGACATCCAACTCCCACAATTCCTAACAGCCTACCAGCTGGGTAGTTGTAGGTTTTTTTCGGACTATATGGCCAGATTCTAGAGGCATTCTAGGCATTGTGTTCTGCATACAAGTTGTATAGGTTGGGTGAGAGTATACAATCCTGCCATATGCCTTTCCCAATCTTGAACCAGTCTGTTGTTCCATGCTCAGTTCTGACTGTTGCTACTTGGTCCTTATACAGATTCCTCAGGAGAAAACACACAATTTATTATGCTCCTCACAAAGGCTTTAGAATAGTCAATAAAACAGAAATAGATGTTTTTCTGAAACTCCCTGCCTTTCTCCATTATCCAGCGGATATTGGCAATTTGCCTTTTCTAAACCCAGCTTGTATATCTGGCAACTCTCTCTCCATGTATTGCTGGAGTCTTCCTTGCAGGATCTTGAGCATGACCTTACTGGCATGAGAAATAAGGACCACTGTACAGAAGTTTGAGCAGTCTTTAGCATTTCCCTTTTTTGGTATGGGGATATAAATTAATTTTTTCCAGTCTGATGGCCATTCTTGTGTTTTCCATATTTGCTGGCATACGGCATGCATCACCTTGACAGCATCATATTTCAAGATTTTAAACAGTTCAGCTGGGATCCCATCGTCTCCTGCTGCCTTTTTGTTAGCAATGCTTCTTAAGGCCCATTCAACCTCACTCCTCAGGATGTCTGGTTCCAATTCACTCACCACACCGACAAAACTATCCTCGATATTATTATCCTTCCTATACAGATCTTCTGTATAGTCTCGCCACCTTCTCTTGATCTCTTCAGCTTGTTAGGTCCTTGCCATCTTTGTTTCTTATCATGCCATTTTTGCCTGAAATTTACTTCCAATGCTTCTAATTTTCTGGAAGAGGTCTCTTGTCCTTCCTATTCTATTGTCTTCTTCCATTTCCATGCATTGCTTGTTTAAAAATAGTTCCTTATCTCTTTTGGCTAACCTCTGGAATTGCGCATTTAACTGGGCATATCTCCCCTTATCACTGTTTCCTTTTGCTTTCCTCCTTTCTTGGGCTACTTCCAGTGTCTCAGCAGACAACCATTTTGCCTTCTTGGTTTTCTTTTTCTTTGGGACATACTTTGTTGCCACCTCCTGAACAATGTCACAGACTTGTTTCCATAGTTCTTCTGGGACTCTGTTTACTAAATCTAGTCCTTCAAATCTGTTCTTCACTTCCACTGCATATTCGCTAGGAATGTTAGTGAGATCATATCTTACTGGTCTGTGTGCTATCCCTGATCTCTTTAGTCTTACTCTAAATTGAGCAATAAGAAGTTCGTGATCTGAGCTACAGTCAGCCCCAGGTCTTGTTTTCACTGACTGGATGGATGTCCGCCACCTTTGACTGCAAAGGATGTAGTCAATCTGATTTCGGTGTTGACCAATTTGGTGAAGTCCATGTATAAAGTTGTCTTTTACGTTGTTGGAAGAGAGTGTTTGTTATACACAGCAGGTTTTCCTGGCAAAATTCTATCAGGCTGGCAAAATTGTATCAGCAAATTTCTATCCCGCTTCATTTTCTTGTCCCAGACCATGCTTGCCTGTTATCCCAGTTGTCATTTGACTTCCCACCTTGGCATTCCAGAGAAGGCCTTACTGGTACATTGTTTAAACTGTTATGTTTATTCATATCATGACCTGATCACCATGCTCAATATATCCCATATGCATGGGGGTATTGAGATAATGATACAAAAGGTTTGCTAGGGTAGATCCTCTCTCACTCAGACTCAGCCCCCCCCCCCAATCAAAATCCTGGCTATAGGCCTGCCTGGAGGGCCAAAGTTTGCCCATGCCTGAATATTGCTGCGATGAGTTATCTAGGCAAGGAAACCCAAGTCTAAAGACGAAATCGGGTTATGTTTCATACAGGTAGCCTGAAGATGATTTTATACACCACACTCGTTTTAAAAAATTGTGAATTGTGCCAAGTGTGTGTCGGAAAGTGAAGGACCTCCTTCCTGGGCCTTCCAGGTGAGGGATGCTGAGCCTGCAGGAGGAGGCGCCTGGGGCTGGGCAGGGGCTTCCCCAAGAAGGGGCGCTCGCCTCCCCCGCCTGGCCTCCCTCGGGGGATTGCACGGCCCCCGCCTCATCTCCGCCCACCTCGGATAATAGGCTTGTGGGGCGGGCTCTCTCGCTCCCCCCCCCCTTTCTTTCGTTCCCTCCGACTGGCTCCAGGAGAAGCCGGCCCTTCCCTGAGCCCGAGGGTCCCCTGCTCAGAGCAAAGCCTTCCCCACTTTCCTTCATTCCCCCCCCCCCCCCGCGCAGGCCGCCAGTGGGGAGGGGGGTCTCCTTCTCGTCATTTCCGCCAGAAGGGGGGGGGGGGAAAGAGGGGAGGGGGGTGGTGGGCTGGGGGAGCGCCAGGGAGGAGCGCGCGCCGCGTCTTCGAGCGTTGCGAAGGAGGGAGAAGGCACGAGGGGAGAGGACCGAAATTGGGGAAAGGGAGAAGAGGAGCCAAGGCTGCCGCTTCCGCGGCTGGACTGCGCCGGCGCCCTCAGCAGCGCTCGAGAGGGGGCTTCCCGGCATCCTGGAGCAGAGCAGAGGAGAGGAGAGCGGAGCGAGGAGGAGCGGCCGGCGTCGCTTCTCTCTCCCTTTTCGCCCGCGGGTCGGAGCCGGCACGGGAGGCACAGAGGCGCGTGCCCGGCGGAGAAAGGGAGAGTGCCAGAGAGCGCGAGCCGGGGCGCGCGGATCGCCCTCAGCCCCGCGCACGCGCGCGCTCTCAGGCAGCCCGGGAAGAGGAGCCGGGAGAGGAGGGCGCCGGTTTTGAGGAGGGGAAAGGGGAAGGGGAGGGGGGAGGAGGCAAGAGCCGCCTTTCTTCGCTCCTCTGCCGGCCGCCGAAGCTGAATTCCCTCTCCCCTCCTCCTCCCCCTCCTCCTCCTCCTGGTCACGCACAACCTGCGCCCTCGCTTGCTGGCTTGCTCCAGACCTTCTCCTCGCCTCCTTTGGTTCTCAGAGAGAGAGGGACGCTGCTGCTCCTGCTGCTTCTTCTTCCCAGGAAAGTTTGCCCCCATGGCGCTCATTATGGAACCCGTCAGCAAGTGGACCCCCAGCCAAGTGGTGGACTGGATGAAAGGTGAGGGAAGAAAAAAGCGGGGAAAGGATTTGGGGGGGGGGGGGGAGGGAGAGAGACGAAAGGTAGCAGGTGTCCGGGGAGAATCGAGTGGGGCGCCTTTCCCTCCAGGTGTGGAGGACTCTTCCCCTCGGGCGAGAGCAGCCCAACTCCTGGCTCCAGCCGCCAGGCTCCACCTGGGTCTTTGGCTTTCTTGCTTGAAGGCGGAGGGAGGGAGGGAGGGGGTTGAAGGGTTTTATCGCAAGGGGCCCTTCCACACAGCCCTATAACCCAGAATATCAAAGCAGAAAATCCCACATTATCTGTTTTTTATCTGAGTCCACACTGCCATATATTCCAGTTCAAAGCAGATAATGGGGGATTTTCTGCCTTGATATTCTGAGATATAGGGCTGTGTGGAAGGATCCTGAGTTGACGGATTGTATTTTGCTCTGCTCCTTCCCCTGCTCGCACTCCTTGGTGGGCAGCAGGTGTTCCTACCTGGCAAAAGCTGCTGGAAGGGATGCCTGGAGAGGAACCAATACTTCCCTCGCCTGGCGGTGGGTTTCCATAGGCTGAGGGCCCTTCCACACAGCCCTGTATCCCAGAATATCAAGGCAGAAAATCCCACAAGACCTGCTTTGATCTGGAATATATGGCAGTGTGGACTCAGATAACCCAGTTCAAAGCAGATATTGTGGGGTTTTCTGCCTTGATATTCTGGGATATAGGACTGCGTGGAAGGGCCCTGAGAGTCTGGATCCCTTTTCAGGGGAAATGGTAGGCACCCAGATGAGGTCCCTCTCACCCCCATCTTTTTCTTCTTCCCACGTTTGCCTTTTTAATTTTTGTCCACGCAATCGTTTGTCTCTTGGCTGCTGCCATTTAGTTCCTGTAGGCCTGCCCATCGGCTGCAAAAAACCCCAAACTTTTAGCAAATTCCCTGCCAGCCAAGGCTGGAAAAGGATGCCTTGGCCCCTTGAAGAAAGGCTCTTGGGCGAACGCATAGCACCTTCTTGCCTTGGTGGCGGGAGGCCAAAGGGAAGGCAATTCAAAGGAAAGGGCAAGCCAGGAGGCCAAGAGGCCAAGGAGAGCCTCAGCAGAGGAATGCTGAAACAATCCTTGCAATGGGGGTGGGGAAGAGGAGGAGGAAAAGGGAAATGGAGAGCAGGTGCCAAGGGCCAGCAGTGCCTCTTGAGGTGAGGGGCTGGAATGACAGCCTGCTGCCTGATTGGGGGGAGGCAATGGATCTTGTGTCAGCCTGACCTGCCATGGCAGGGGAGGCAGCTGCTGGAATGACAGCCCTGCACGGGTGGGAGAAGAACTTAGAAAGCACTTTGGGGGTGGGGCGAGGAGACTGGGATGGCTGGCGGCCACTTGACCTGCTTGGGGAGCCTGTGTTGTGCCCAAAAGTGGAGGTTGATGTGACAACCATCTGGCCTTTGCAGACTGTTGAGAGTTCTATAGGGAGTGAGATCATATCTATAGAGCTTTTGTACTCCTGCTCTCCAGTGCTCCACTTGTTTTCCTTGAAGCCCACCATACTCTTACTGCACCTGTACTCCCCAGGGATATTGAGCTGTCATTTCATCCTCATCCCCAACAGCAGCTGGGCCACTAACAGTACCATGTCTCAACAGCTGTCTTTCCCGGCATTCCTCTGTTTCTCTTGGAGCCCCGCTGCCGTGCCTTGCATTTCCCTTCTGGCTGGCATGTTGTTTCTTTTAATATCTGCAGTGGTCAATTTCCTTTGTGTTTCATATCTAACATTTTCAAGGATCATTCCATTCCCCTTCTACCTTCAGTTTCTTCTTTATTAAATTTCATTATTATATCCATCAGCAACTGATATATTTGAGGACAGTCTTACTATTGGTGCAGGTAACATTGATAGAGTGGACGTTTTCTTTCACATTCCTGGTCAAGATAGGAATAGGTACTTCTGTTTCTTCTGCTTGACTGAAACAGCTAAAATGTATCCCTGGCCCACTCAAAAACACACTTTCTAAACATTCAGCTTTGTGCACTTGCCCATAGGATTGTACAGCAAGACTAGGAGCCCATATTTTTCAAGCTGCTTTCCCTTTCCATTAGGTTTTTTTTGGAAGGGGAACGGGGAAGGAGAAGTTGAGTTTGTGTAGCAAAGCTTTCAATGGGTTGTTTTAAGTTTTCCAGGCTGTATGACCATGTTCCAGAAGCATTTTCTCCTGATGTTTTGCCCACATCTATGGCAGGCATCCTCAGAGGTTGAGGGGTCTGTTGGAAATTGGCCAAGGAAGATTTATATATTTGTGGAATGTCGAGGGTGGGAGAAAGAACTCTTGTCTGTTGGAGGCAAGTGTGAATGTTGCAATTAGCCACCTTGATTATAGCATGTAATGACCTTTCAATAGGTTATAGACTTTTATAGTAGATAGGGGTTTTTTGTGCTTTTTCATTGATAGCATTTTGGAGCAGAGGATTTGGGGGGGGGGGGGGGAAGTAAGACATCTAACTCTTGAGTTTAGTGGAAGACTTAAGGTGCAGTTCTGTACACATTTACTTCAACACACTTACAACTGCGAGGGTTACTTCTAGAAAGATATAGAACACAGTTCTATATAGGTATAGAACTGTGATGTTACAGGCTGATTTCGTACAGGCTGATTTTGTACATGTTTGTTCCTTGTGTTGGTTTGAATAAATTCCCAATTTGATCAGTGTAATTTACTCCTTAGAAAGCGTGCCTGTAGGGTACATCTCTAAGCACTCTGTTGGAACTAGCAGGACTTAAATAAGCTAAGGGGTCTTGGAGCACCTTAAAGGATAACCGAAAGAATGAAGTTGGTAGTATAAGCTTTTGTAGACAGAGTCTACTTTCTCAGGTACATGAAATGCCTAGGAGCAGACCTCTGTAGGCAGACTTTATGTGTGAATACCCATAGAAATACAAAGTATGGTGGTATGGAGATGAGGGGACAAAGAAAGGAGAGAAGATGTGAGCGGATAACTGTATGAATGGTGCATGGAGTTATTGGAAGTAGTGTGATGCTAGCTGGGAGCCAGAAAGAAAAAGCGATAAACTGTCTAGCAAGCCCCCATAAGTCTGGGGTGTTAGCTGGTGTAAAAATACGTGTAGTTTGCCAATAAACGATTATCTCTGTTCAATCCATTCTCAATGAACTGGTGTTTATGGATATAAGTCTTTGAATACTAGCAGGACTTAAATATGTTGTTTTGCCTAATCACTGGAAAGCTCTCTCATCCTATGTGACATTATAATTTATCTTGAATTTTATTGGCATGTTATTAGAATATTGTAAAGATAAATGAAATCACAATATTTCAGTGGCAGTCTTCCTTAATGCACCTGTTTTGCATGGAACATATGTAATGTGAGTCCCCTTGCACACAGCTGAATTAAAACCCACATTATCATCTTTGAACTGGAATAGATGGCGGTGTGGACTCATATATCCCAGTTCAAAACAGATATTGTGCGATCTTCTGCCTTGATATTATGGGTTGTATGGCAGTATGGAAGGGCCCTAAGAATTACTGTATTTGGAAATTAGTTGTTCTCTGTAGCTTGAAATACATATTTCATATAAAGTAAATGCATTTATATGTGTTCATTTAATTGTTTTGCTTGTTAAATATTTAATTAGCAGGCCTTCAATCTTTCATTTCTGGGAGATTTCCCAATGTATCATTCTCAGCATGACTGCAGCCATGAAAATGTCAACTGCATTTTTGTTTCTACAGTGGAAATTTTAGATAGTCTACATAAAAAACCTAAAATGTTGCCATCTGTAAAAAGTTATCAGAAGCATTGTAAACAATGTGTCTCATTGGATGCACAATTGGTTTATCCATATGCTTTCATTTTAAATGTATTTTCTAAAGGTTTTAAGATTTAACAGCAAATATGAGGGGACAACTGTGTGTAGTACAGTTTTCCCTCATGTGAGTTCAATAATGAGCCACTTCTGTTCAGTGTTTGGATGAGCCATTGGAAATCAATATCTTGCTGTGAAATATATTTCCGAACATGAAATGATGCTAGCATGAGGCTTTGAAGCCTAAACTTATCATATTTTAACGTGCATTGTTTGCACTGGTATTGCTTATCCTCCTTCTATCTGTTGGTCTGCTCAGTATTAAAAATACTTTTCAATAATGCTGTGAATGTATGAATGTGGCTTGGAGGAAAGGTTTTCATTAGCAAAGATCACGGTAGCTTTGCTGATTGTTTTTGTAAGAGCCTAAAATGAAAAATTGAAGTCTATAATCCTAGCTGTAATTGTAGTTTGAATAAATCCAGCTAGTATCATGGGCATTATCTCTTTATAAAACTGACAGAACTGGATAATGGTGATTTGGGAATAAGTGCCATATTGTTATTCTCAGTCCCCTTTGCCCTGCTAAAGTGTAACAATGTCATCACCAGAGACACATAGTTTTGGTTTTTCTACTCTTGCATATTCGTTTCCAAATAATTATGTAATCCTGACTAGTAATTTATATTTAGTAACTCATATGCAACATTCTTTCTGTTCAGACTGAATTATCTTAATTTGCTAAATTAGTATAATCATTTACTGTTAAGGAAAACAAGCTGCCACAGCAAAAAGCATTGTAGTAGGCATAATTTGTCTATATCAACTATCATTGCACCAGAGATTTGGTTTTACAAAATATTTAAGTATTTTGTCAAACCAAATCTCTGGTGCAATGATAGTTGATCTTAGCCCATCAAAATCCATACAGCTTTAGATCATTGCAGCTAATATATCCTACTAACTTCAAAGAGGTGTAAGCCTCAGGTTTTAGTGTGTGAACTGAGACCTTGATGGAAATGAGAAGAAGGGATAATACTAATTTCAGCCTTGAACTAAGTTATGAGCATGGCCAAGCTTTTCAATGGTGTCAGCATGCATCAAAGTATCTCATATTGACTTTGCTGCCTTCCCTCTTTCGATCCTACTTATATAAGTACCACTGTTGTCAATAGAGACACACATGAAACTCACTCATTAGTGTAT